TGGTGAATCCTCTCATTGCCTCTTCACCTCTGGCCTGTACCCCAGTTCTGTGTGCATAAATAAATAAATCTTTAAAAAAATGAATGAATGAACATATGATCACAAATATGCCAATATAAGTATGTTTATAACCTATTATAAATTATAATTATATCGATGTTATGTATTTTTCAGCAACATGTTTTTATTTTCCTCTCATCTTCCTCAATTAACTTTTAAAAAATTACTCCAAATTATCTCCGGGTATGGAATTTCCTTTCTGGGTCGGTCATAAAAAAAAAGTTCTAAAATTAGTTTGTGGTGATAATTGCACAGCTTGTGAAAATATTAAAAACCACAAGCTGTATACTTCAAATTTTATGATATGTAAATGATATCTCAATAAAGCTGTTTAATAAAAGATCAGGATATAAAAACATATCCCAATATAAGCAATGCCTATATTTATTTATTTATTTTGCATAGAACTGGGGTACAGGCCAGAGTTGCAGGGATTGTAGCGGGAGGGGAGGATCCACCAGACAGAGTGGGGAGCAGAACAGGTAGATCCACTGAAATCCACTGCTGAGGGGAGCAGGGGGCAGAGGAGATCATGAGGGTCAGCTCCAGGCCGGGACTGAACCCAGGCCTTAGAGGTGATATTGCTAACATGTAACCCTAGGCCACCAGGGAGGCCTCATTTAAATAATCAGTTCCCCATCATGGGATTTAGGAGTTTGCGTTTTTCTTTATTATAAGCATATTTGCATGGGTGCCCATGGGTGACTACCTTTGCCCCCTAAAAGCCCAGAGGAAACTCTCTCTATAATGTCCACGCGACACACCTCGGGATGCAAATACAGCAATTCGGATGTCAGCTGAAATGGTAGGAACCACTTCAAGTTTCTTCCAAGAATGTAAAGGTTTTACCATGTGCTAAATACAGGTTTCCTCTGAGGCTGGGCCTGCGTTTCCCTTGGTTTAGTCCCTGGTTTAGACCATGGTTAGGAGAGATGGAGGCGGTTTAGTCCTCTAGGCTAATCTACTGGAGCCAGGCGTGCCCACGTGTGCAGGTTGGTATCCCGAATCTGCCTCTACCAGCTGGAGACTTGGTTCCTGGATGGTCATTTCATCTGTGAAACAGAACAACTCACAGAGTCATTAAGAGGAGGGGTGGGCTGACCCCTGGCCAGGCGTCGCCTGGTAAGTCCTTCCTTTCCTTGGGTTCATCAAAGACACTGATGAGAGGCCACAAACTCTGGTGAATCACGCACATGGTGTTTTTTCTGAGTCAGTGACCCTCACAACTGGTAGGTCACTAGCCCGTCTAGGCATGGACACCACAGCTCACTGCCACCAGCTGTGACCAGAAGGAGCACGTCCCAAGAAGGTGGGGGGGGTGTGGGCAGCTGGCCTTCAGCACTGACCAGATCCTCCTGGAATCCCCATCAGCCCCTTCTCTGAAAGGGGCTGAGGCTGGCGGCATCATTCCAGTGCCCAGGCCAGAGTCTCCTCTTTGGCAGGAGCCAATCCTCGATAAAGGTTTGGTCACCACAGCCCCCATCAGTCTCTTCCCTACGAAGACTGACAGATCCTCTGCTCTTCCCTGTGCTTGGCCCGTGGTGAGCACCCGCTGTGGTGAGCACCCGAAATTTCTGAAATGGGCTTGACATTGACCAAACAGGTCTTAGGTCACTTCTGCAGGCAACTGAGGCTTGCCCAGATCCTTATTGGCCTAAATGTATAAGCTCGGGCTCTCCCTGGTGGTGCAGCGGGTTAAAGCGCAGCACTAAGAAGCTAAAGCTACTTCAGCATGAGTTCAATCCCCGCCTGCCCCGGAAGAGATCCACATGGCGAGCCAGACCTCTCCTGACCCGCCCGCTGCTCCCCTCAGCAGTGTACTTCTCAGTCAACCTGTTCTGCTCCCCACTCTGTCCCTGGTGAATCCTCTCACCCTCCACATCTCTGGCCTGTACCCCAGTTCTGTATGAATAAATAAATAAATCTTTAAAAAATATAAAATAAAAATAAAAGTATAAGCTCATCTCCACATTTCAGGAAGACCATACTCCTGACAAGAGAGAGTAGGTTTCTAGTTTTGTTTTGGTTTGGATTTATTCTTATTTATTTGTGCATATAAGAACTGGGGTACAGGCCGGGGGGGGGGGTCTGCTGTGCCATGTGGGTCAGCTCCCTGCAGTGGCTACCGATAGCTTGACAGCACTAAGACTTAACCCCTGCACCCCCAGAGAGGCCCAGGTTTGAATTTTTCTTTCAGAGTCTCCTCCAAGCCAGCCAAAATGGGTGTCATGACTGAGGTTCTGTTTCTGCCCCTTGTGAAGACACCGGGGGGAAGATGCTCAGGCAGGGAGATTGTGGGGTGCTGGCCCAATGTCTTCTGTTATAATACACAGTGCAGGATGAAGAGGAAGGGCCTTTGCTTAAAAGTTATTATGAATCTCAGGACAGCGGCACTGGCATATTAAACCAGGAGTGGGGTCTCTGTGACCCCATGAAACTGACCCTGCAACCCTTCTCTTCCACTATCCCCCCCTTAATAAGGGCACACTCAAGAATCCCATCAGGCACTGCCTCGGGGGTGCCCAACTTTCCATAGTCGTCTCTGAGTGATGTTATTCATGGAAAGGCTTTTCCCGAAAAAACTTTTGTCACTTTTCATGGGAAAGTGGGAAGTAAAGGGCTTATCTCAAGACTTGGGAATAGGGGCCCTCCCTGGTGGCGAGGAGTTAAAGTGCAGCACTATGAAGCTGTTGGCAGCCACTGGAGCATGAGTTCAATCCCCAGCCAAGGAGGTGACCCACATGGCACAGCAGACCTCTCCTGACCTGCCCGCTGCTCCCCTCAGCAGTGTATTTCAGTCAATCTGCCTGTTCTGCTCCCCCTCTGTCTCTGGTGAATCCCCTCCCCTTATGTATAAATAAATAAATCTTAAAAAAAAAAAAAACCTGGGAATTGAGATAATAAACTCTAGTGGGGTTCTTGGACCCGATGGAGTGTTTATAATGTTGCACCTGCAGAATTTAGAACCTATGAAGCCTTGCACTGTTACTGATAACCCACTGAGGGGCACGCTGACCGCTAGGTTCACCTAAGAGACTCAGAGCCTCGACAGAATGAAACAGGAGCCTGGGGTCTACAGGAGCCTGGGGTCTAGAGTCCGGAGTCTGTTTACTAGGACCACCCATGGGTCTATATAGGGTTTGATATCCCTTGTAGGTGCAGGGAAAAAAACAGGAAATGTACCCGATGTGGGGGTGGGGTGCATGTTTGTAGGGGGCCTGGGACTTCTTGCAGTTTCTGCTAAAAACATGGTAGGGGGCTGCAGCTGTTTGCAGGACAGAGTGCACTGTGCTCTGCTGGCTTGCGTGTTGGTCTTACTGGGGAGTGTGCTCACCCATGCACATCAGCCAGGGTAGAGAGGTGCACTTGAGGTCCTGTGGAGTTAGCCACATTGCACGTTCATTGTAATGGAAATGGTTAAATCTCTAGGAAAGGAAACATTTTAGGGAGTTGTAGCCTAGTGAGATTCTAACCAAGATAGTAATACTTTCAGAAATGTGACTAATAATACAAAAAATAAAAAGGACAGAATGCTTATAACAAGAGGCAAAAGCTACCATATTTTAATATACATTATATGAAAATGCACTTGTTGATTGAGGGTAAAAGCAAAAATAAGTAAATATTTTTTCTTTATGCATACAGAACTGGGGTACAGGCCAGGGGTTCGGGGGTGGGGGGTGGGGCAGGTAAGAGGCTTCACCAGAGACAGAGTGGGGAGCAGAATAGGCAGACTGATGGAAGTACACTGCTGAGGGGAGCGGCGCGTGGGTCAGGAGAGGTCTGCCGCGCCCTGTGGGTCAGCTCTGGGCTGGAGATCGAACTCATACGGAAGTGGCTTTAGCTTCTCAGTCCTGTGCTTTAACCCACTGCGCTACCAGGGAGAGCCCAAAAATAAGTGAATTTTAAAGTCACTTAAAATTATTGAGAATTCTATCATTGAGCCAGCAATGCCTGCATTATTTATTAAATTTAGTGAATCCTACCCCTGTAGGATTCCAAATACCAAATTGTATTTGTAGTTCTATGGACAGAGAAATAAAATCAATAAACTTAGTGACTTTGGCATTTTAGAAATAAATGATAATAGAAATTTTGGAATTGATCCATTTCAAGCAGCAATATAGGGGCAGGGATATAGTTAAATGTTGTGATTTTTGTTGCTCATCAAGATGGGGAATATCACCATGAAGGATGCTGCCGAGAAATCATTTATTGAGATGGACACCAATCTCAAGGAATTTAGGAACCGTTCAAGGCAAATCCCCGTGTCGAGTCACCCCACAGTGAGTTATGTCTCAGAAGACATGCACCATTTGTTAAGTTCTAAAGATCAACACAACACTCTAGGAATGGCATGAAGGACTCATTTAATGAGCCGCATGAGAATTTACATCGCTTCTTGAGTAGTTTGTTGTTTTACTTAAGCTAAATAATATTGTGCAGTTTATTTAGAGCTAAAGAAGGGATGGTGATAAAATATTGTTCAAACTTTGATCCCCGCATTGAGTTACATATTCCTATTTCAGTACTGGTTATTAAAATTTTTTTTCCCAAAGATTTATTTATTTGTGCATACAGAACTGGGGAACAGGCCAGAAGCTCAGGGGAGGCGAGAGGCTTCACCAGAGAGAGTGGGGAACAGAACAAGCAGATTGACGAAGTACACGGCTGAGGGGAGCAGCGGGCGGGTCAGGAGAGGTCTGCCACGCCATGTGGTCATCTCCAGGGCAGGT